ATATTTATCAAAATACCATTAGTTTAAAAACAAGTATTTTCTTGTCCTATTGTGTTTACGATACCTAGAATATTCATTTCCCCAAATTCTTCATATCAGCTAGCCCTTCTGGGTAGAATATATACATAGGTACATACATGCATGCATACATACATATTTACATTCATAGGCTTGCTTTTTTTCTATAATTGTTAGTCTGCAACTTCTTTCAAATTATTTTTAAGAAATATCTCCTGATATCAAGGTGGGAAAAAGAATAGAAGGACTAAATGAGAACTGATTTACAGCAGAGTCATCCAACTTAATCTAGAATGGTGATAGGAAAATGAGAAATGGCCCCAGTTGAATAGAATGAACAAAACAGAGAGAAAGTGCAGCTCAGAAATAAATCAGAGATTGTTTGTAGCTCAGAAAAAGCCCACCCAGGATCTCAAAGCACCCCCAGCAGAATCTAAGACACATGGGTTTTGATCTTTTTCCATGTTTTTATTGATAGAAGAACTTATTTAAAATTTTTATTTCTAATGTTAATCAAGTTCTGATGTAATATATAAGGAAATATGTTATTATTAACCTAACTCACATAAATTTATAATTTTGTATTTCCTTTTTGGCGTTTCAATGAAAATCTAATCACATTATTCATGTGGTAACAGATAATTGAAAAATTTTTCCTATATTTAACTTGCTTGGGATAAAGAAAACTTTGTTTATTAATCCTTATCTCAAACCTACCTAATACAAGCATCTTTCTGGAGAATACTTTTCATTTATTATAACTAAGCAAATTTTACTACAACTCATGAGATCCAACTGTGTTTTTATCCCAAAGCATTAAAATGTTAAGCCTTCCAATAAAGCAAATATTTAAATAAGAGCTTATTTGAGGGCTGGGAATAATTGGAGACCTTTATCTGGGTTCCTTCATTCGCTGCTTTATGTTAAAAAATGTTTACTGATGGTCTACAATACACAGAATAGTGTGGAAAAATATGGAGGCTGCAAATATAAACAAGACACATATCTTTGTATAATAAACTAACAAATTAAAAAAATAATTAAAATATAAACACAGAGAAGGAGCTAGAGGTGATTGCAGAAGGATAAGTAATCCTTCCTGAGGTGACCAGGTGAGCATTTTAAATACAGTGGAAGGCTAGAAAGAATTTCAAAAAGTGAAAGTAAATGTTCCAGGTATATTAGGAAAAAAATTCATAAGGTTAAACATATAGACAGAAATGACTAAATTTGTATAGAAAATGACAGGACATAGGTTATAGGAAAGAGAGACTAATCTGTTAGATTTCTATAGAAACATTAAAGGATCTTCATTAAGATTTGTCTAAATGTAAATTTTTGGGTTTTTCTTTTAGTTTTAAATAATGTTCAGTCTAGATGAATTTTTTCAATATTAATACTGCGATTTTTCTTCAATTTTTGAAAAACTTCAAGCATTATCTTTGAATATTTCCCTTCCCCAGTTTTCTATAGTTGTTCCTCCTGAAAATCCTCTTAAACAAAATTGAAGCTTTGCAGTCTTTTCTTCATATCTTTTGACTTTCAATACTTGTCGTCTCTTTATTTCTCTCTGGTATGTTCTGTGGTACATCTTCATTTCCAAATTCTAGTAGTAAATTTCCCTTCAGGATTATCTACTAGACTACTATTTATTTCATATATTGATGTCTTGTTTTCAGACATTTTGTTTTCATTTCCAAGAATTCCAAGAAAAGATTGTGTGTGCTTCGTCTCTACTGTCTTGACTAGAACCTCGCATTCACATTTAAGGTAAACTGTCACTTTGCTTTAGGGGGCTCCTACTCTTACTTGGTTATTTCAAATGCTATAAAAGTCATGTAGTTTGTCAAGTCACTATGTGGTATTGCCCTGTCTTCTGACGCATCATCAAATATCTTCCACATTCATTTCCTTCATACACTGATGAGCAATGGTCTTTGTTTTAATTTGTGAGAAACTAACAACATACAAAAAGCTGATTATATAAGTTTTTCAGCATGTCCCTATCATTTGAGGCTAACATTTTAATAGACATTATACCCATATGTCTTTATTGTTTGTGTAGAAAATTACGTTAGACAAAAAAATTTAGACATCTTAACAGATTGCTTATTCTCTAAAAATATTAAATAATTATACAATAGACACTGAGTTCACACGCAGAGTTTAAAGAAAATGACATTCTTTAAAACTTGCTTCAGTACAATCATATTCATTGACTCATACTGTTGTGCCTTCTAACCTCTGCTCTTCAAAACAAGCCCTTCGAAGGTCATTGCAACCTTAAATGATGTTGATTTTCTTCAGATTATGCTGTAACTTGACAGGTGCCATAAGAAGGCCACATTGTAAATGATATATCTTAGTTACTAATGTCCTTTTCTGCTGGCACTCAGACAGCTCTTGTCAAAGCTCTTAGAGCAGATAATGCTTTCCTATTCCCTTAAAGGACACTCTGAAAATGCTACCCAGAGTGCCTTCAAAGTCCCAGAATTGTTTTTCTGTAGCTAGGTCGTGTCTTGGGAAAAAAAAAACCATAGAAAGTTTTCTTTTTTACTCTTTTGATAATATAATGCATATACACGCACACGTGTATACATACACACGTCTAAAAGTTAAGAAATTTTAATCTCATAACTTTTTTTGATTGAGGAGATTTTCTTTGTTTGCTTGTTTTTAGTTATGTAATTTAAACTAATGTAAGTACACTAGAAGATCTGGTCCTATTTTTCTTCCTGAAAATTAAGATATAGCCCTAAAAAAAGGTGAGAGGGAAGTTAATGTTTCTCTCTAGGTCATGGAAAGCATTTAAAAACACTAACATATATATGAATATGTCAGGTTAATCATCTGTCCTTATTCTTGGTGTATATTGAAATAATTATTCATGGATTTTTAACATTTATACCCACAGACTTTAACAAGCAAAATGGTCATAAGGAGCAATAACTATAATTTAAAAAAAAATGATTATTAAAAAATTCTTTACTCCAAAAAGCCATTACCTTTTAAGTTGACAGGACATATCTTTGAGAAATTTTTTCATAATATCAAAGATGAGAATTCATGTTATTCAACACTGCAAGCTTTCATAATGTCTTTGGCCTTAAGAATGTAAAATCTTTGAAGGCAATTATACTCTCATTTGTTTTGTGTACCCAAAACAGGGCTAGGTAGAGTCGGCGCAAAATAAATGCTATTTGATAAGTTGAATGAGCAAAATAAGCTTCCAGTTTACTCCATTATTCAAACATAATTAAAGGTGTTTCACGCTAATGCGATATTTTAAGAAAAAGGTAAAATAACACATCTGTATTGTTTTAAGAGGGAATTAAGAAAACAGCAATAAAATTAACTGCCACTGAACAAGTACAAGCTGAGTTTTTCAGAAGGAATAATTAATTCACAGAAAGCTTACAGATATTTTAAAAGAATATACCACAAAACTGCATGTCATAGGATTACAGAAAAGTAATAACATTTTATAGACGAATGAGCCTATAAGGAACTTTAGATATCTTCTAGTCCTGTTTCAAGCACCTGGAAGATCTATCTTTAATTTGAACTGGCACACAAATTGAGCATTGCTGAGAGGTCAAATTACACTTTAGTGAAGACGGAAGAAGTGATGAATAATAATAATGATTGCATTTTACATTTATGTAGCAATATATGCCATTTAATCTCCTTTTATATCCATAGGTCTAGAACAGAATGCAAAGATTTCGTAATATCAAAATTATGATCCAGGTTTATCTTCCATCTAGCTGCACTGTGCAGCTTACATGCTTTTCATACTGAGGGTCTCCTTTTCCTGGAAATGCCAGGAATTCTCAATACTCTAATTAGTGCACCACTCAGAAATCAATGTACAGTTGTAGACAGTATCATCTCTGTAACTAAGTATCATTCCTCAACATAAGCAATGGTCTTCAGATTGAAGTAGTTAGACATATTTGTATTGATTTTTATAATGATGGAAAACCAAAGCAAGGACCATTCAAAATTTCATGTCAAATGTATTCCCTAATGTATCCCCAAAATATACATTATAATATAAAGATACTATTTTGAGGTCTTTCTTTGAAATATAACAGTGACTATGCTAATGCCTCTTTGTTTCTGCCCACTGTCAATATTCAAGCAATGTATGTACGCTTACTGCTCTGGATGCTGTGGTACAAATTCCAGGAATGAAAAAGATGAAAGTTGGCAAGAATGATAGTTATACAGTACTCTCCAATTTTAAGAATTTACGATTCCAATCATTTTACTTTGCTAATAGCTAGAAAACCATTCCGTATTCTTCACCCTGGATAATGCTCATGATCATAAATAAAATATCTATTTTGTTTTCATTAGACTTTCATCCTGAATAACATAAAGCACTTGGATGCAAGTTGACTACACGATTTCTAAGACTTCACGAAATTATTTTCAATATTGTCATTACTAATAACTACATTAAGTCTTTTTTGATGTATATTTGTTTAAAATATTTTCCTCACCAATTTCCAGGATATTCAGTGCTCCGAGACAATGCCGTTTAAGGCAATTTTGGTAAAAACAGAAAGAAGTCTTTCTAAAAGAGTAAATAGGAGCATTCTCCACGACAAACGATCAATGGCTATTACAAATGTTAGTGAATTGGATGCCAGGCTTTTTGGGAAATAAGTAACTAGGGAAATATGTCAAGTTGTATAAAGTTGTATAATTTCCTTTTTTTTTTTTTCAGACAAACCAGACCATGTGAATTTGTTCTCAGAGGTGAGGAGAGTGGCAGAGAGGAGGGCCTTCAAAGTCACCGAGGACAATGTGCCTGAGCCTATTGGTAGCTGCCTAATGAGTCTTTTCATACATCCTTCAAAACAATACACAACTGCCAACACCATTAAATGATACAAATTACCCCCACATCCTTAGCATAGCTAGAAGCCAAAGCACACCTAAAACTACAAATAAAATATAAGTATTAATCAAACAAACCCTGAAACCCAGTAGGGTCCCTTTCATGAGCTTACCACAAACTTTTTCCTTTAGCATACCACACACTCCCCGTCCCACCAGAGACACCAAGGAGCTTTGGGATCCCTGGTAGGAGGATCCCGCCACAGCAAACGCCCAGTTAGGGAAGCTTCTTTGTCCCCATAGTCCTGAGATCCTCTTCTCTAATAAGTGACACCAAGGCAGGCAGGTGGTACATACACTGGCATCCTCTTCATTACTCTGCATCTGAGTCTCTGCCCCCCCCCCCAACTGAGAAAGACACTCTGTGGCTGTGCCTGGAAAACCCCTCTGCCCCCTTAGGTAATGCCACCAGAGACCAGTGGGAGCCACAGTAGCCCAATATAAATAAGCCAGTAGACCAAAATAATACTTCAAATATCTGAAAATTAAATTGTAATTGGAACTGCAATCCACAAAAGAAGTCCAAGATCATGTGCTAACCCCACCCAGAGTGAACTTTTGCTAAAATAAAAGATGCAATGATAGCCCAGAGCCTCCTAACATAAAAGATAAAATGTTCAGGATACAATTAACAATCACTGGTGATACCAAAATCAAGAAAATCACAACTTGAATGAGAAAAGACAATCAACTGACACCAACACCAAGAGGAATCAGATGTTGGAATCATCTGACAAGGATTTTGAAGCAGCTGCCATAAAATGTTTCAGCAACCAATTGCAAATTCTCTATAAATCAATGAGGAATTAAAAACAATCTCAGCAAAGAAGTGGAAGTTACAAAAATGGAATAAAGTTGGAATTATAGAGCAGAGAAATATAACAAATGAAATTTAAAAGCTTGGTTAATGGACTTAGCAGTAGAGTGGAGATGATAGGACAGAGTCAGTGAACTTGAGAACAGATCAAAAGAATATGCCCAACCTGAACAACAGAGAGAAAATAGACTGAAAAAAAACAAATGAACAGGGCCGGCCCCGTGGCTTAGCGGTTAAGTGCGCGCACTCCGCTGCTGGCGGCCCTGGTTCGGATCCCGGGCGCGCACCGACACACCGCTTCTCCGGCCATGCTGAGGCCACGTCCCACATACAGCAACTAGAAGGATGTGCAGCTATGACATACAACTATCTACTGGGGCTTTGGGGGAAAAATAAATAAATAAAAATTAAAAAACAAAAACAAATGAACAGACCGCAGGAACCTGTAGAACAATAACAAAAGTTCAATATTCTTATTATCAAAGAAGAGAGAAAAAGAATGGGCTCAAAGAATATAGCTAAAAAATTCCCAAATTTGGACTACACCTGTTTTCAAATTTTCATTTACTCCTTGGCCATTTGTGTGTCGTCTTTGGAAAAATGTCTGTTCAGCTTCTTCGCCTGTTTTTAAATCAGGTTCTTTTTTTACTATTGAATTGTATGAATTCCTTATATATTTTGGATATTAACCCCTTGTCAGATATAAAGTTTGCAAATACTTTTTTCCAATACAAAATACAAATTCAACACAATCTCTATCAAAATTGCAATGGCATTTTCTCATAGAAATAAAAAAAAAAAATTCTAAGATTTATATGAAACCACAAAGGACCCTGAATAGCTAAAGCAATCTTGAGAAAAAAGAACAAAGTTGAAAGCAACGCACTTCCTGATTTCAAATTATATTACAAAGCTATAGCAAATGAAAGAGTATAATACTGGCATAACAACAGAAACATAGACCAACGGAACAGAAAAAAGCCCAGAAATAAACCCAAGCATATACAGTTAACTAATTTTCAGCAAGGGCACCAAGAATATACAATGGAGAAAGGATAAATAAATGGTGTTGGGAAAATTGGATATCCATATGCAGAAGAATGAATTCGGACCCTTATCTTACACAATACACAAAAAGGATTAAAGACTTAAAAGTAAGACCTGAAACTGTAAAACTCCTAGAAGAAAACATAGGGAAAAATCTCCTTGACATTGGCCCTGACAATGATGTTTTGGATATGGTACCAAAAGGACAGGCAACAAAAGCAAAAATAAACACGTGGGACTACATCAGACTAAAAGCTTCTGCACAGCAAAGGAAACCATCAACAAAATGAAAAGACAACCAATGGATTGAATACACATTTCATCAAAGGGGATATAAGGATGTCAAATAAGTACATGAAAAGGTGTTCAACATAATTGGCCCTTAGGGAAATGTAAATTAATGCTATGATCAGATAATTCAATATACCTGTTAAAATGGTCAAAATTAAAAAACAAAATACTGACAATACCTAATGCTGGCAAGAATTTGGAGCAATTGGAACTCTCATATATCACTGCTGGTAAGGCAAAATGGTACAGGCATTCTGGAAAACAGTTTGACAGTTTCTTATAAAGGTAAACATACACTTACCATACGATTGAGCAAGCTCACTGCTGGGTATTTACCCTAAAAAAAACGAAAATTTATGTGCACAGTGAAACCTGTACACAAACATTTGTAGCAGCTTTATTTATGATAGCCAAAAGCTAGAAATAACTGACGTGTCCTTCAACAGGAATGATAAACAAGTTATGAGGGATAAACAAGTTAAGGTACGTCCATATGATGGAATACTACTCTCAAGTAAAGAGGAAAACTATTGATATAAGCAATGATTTAGATGAATCTCTAAGACATTATACTGAAGGATTACATGTCTCAAAGATTACTACTGTGTGATTCTATTTATTGATCATTCTTGAAAAGACAAAACTGTACTAATTAAAAAACAGGTTGTGGTTATCAGGGGTATAGGTGGGGGTGATGGTATAACTGTGAAGGGACAGCTTGAGGAGTTTTTTGGAGTTATGGAGTGCTCTGCATCTTTGTTGTGGTGGTGATTACCCAAATACATACATGTGTTAAATCTCCTAGGACTGAGTAACAAGAGACAAGAGAAAAATATCAATTTTACTGTATGATAATTACAAAACATAAAATAAAAGGGTAAAAAACAAAGAAATAATTATCACAAAAATCAGAATAGTAATTCCTTCTGGGAAAGTATGGAAATGTGCCAGCCTGGAGTCCAAAGGAGCTGTAAGATCCTGATAACATTCTGTTTCTTAACCTGGGCATTTGGTGTGTCTTACATTTTTGATGTATATATATCAACAATTTTGGATGATCATTTGGAGACAACTAGTAAGATTGAAGATGCATATATACTATGCCTCAACCATTTCAGACATTATTTTAAATAAATTCTGGTACATTTCCCAAAGGAACTATATATAAATATATTTATTGTAGTATTTTTCAGTGAAGAAAGTATTTAGACATGACCTGTCCATAAAAAGGAAAGTTGATTAACAAAAAGTGGTTTATTTAGGGGCCAGCTCAGTGGTATACTGGTTAAATTCACGTGCTCCGCTTCGGCAGCCCAGGGTTCGTGGGTTCGGATCCCAGGCATGGACATACACACAGTTTATGAAGCCATGCTGTGGCAGGTGTCCCACATATAAAAAGTAGAGGAAGATGGGCATGGATGTTAGCCCAGGGCCAGTATTCCTCAGCAAAAAGAGGAGGATTGGCAAGAGATGTTAGCTCAGGGCTAATCTTCCTCACAAAAAAAGTGGTTTATTTACATGATAAAACAGTATACACATCATTGAAAGTAAATAAGCATATTATATGTATCAACATGGATATATCTCAAAAACCTAATACAAGCAATAAAAGCAGGTTGTGAGATGATGCATACCATTTATTAGTGTTTATTACTCAAAAAAATTAAGCCTGTATATAAAACATGCGCAAAAATAATGAATATGAAATACATGATAGTGCTTATCTCTTGGGGAAGAAGAAGAAAATGAAAAAAGGAATAGAGGAAATTATAACTTCATCTGTAACGTTTTATTTAAAAGAAGAAAATCACTGAATTAAATACGGCAACGTTTGGTAAAGCTAGCTGGTGTGTGAAAAGGTCCAGTATCATCGTCTGTATCTTTGAACTATTCCATAACTTAAAGGCATGTGGATTATATTTCCGTCAATTGATTTTTCTTAAATGTGGACTGCTTCAGTTATTTGCATTTCTTTCCTGGCCCCTGTGTGCATTTGAATTTGTAATCCTTGAGCTTCATTGTGAAGCTAAAAACATTTCGTAGGCCTCTGACAACTGACAACCTCTGTAAATACTTGGCTACTGGGACCTTGACCCCTTTTGTTTCTGTTTTTGTGCACTGTGTCTACCACCACTGTAGTCACCAGCACTACTCATGTTCTATCACACCTGTGACTTGCTGTTCTAGGCCATCCGGACTCTGAACAGAACAACTCTTTTCTTTGGGGCTGCTTTCTTTAAGACGCTGCTTCTCTACTCCTCTCCAAGTCCCTGGGAGAGAGATTGGGAATGCCACTACGAGGGCAGATTAAGGAGACAGATAGTCTCATCTCTTGTTGCTCTAAATGTTTTCCTACAAATTAGAAAGAAAGCTCCATCACTGGGTGGAGGAAGCTAGAGTGGCTTCTTATAGTTGTGCGAGGAGGGCTGTTCCTGCCAAACCCTGGAAGCCTTATAGGCCCTCCATCCATCAAACTATATTTTTCCTGAGTTCTCCCTGGGAACTCTTAACCATGGTATGAAAGACGGGATTTTTCTAAAATCATCTCTACAAAAAGCAAAGCAAGTTCCTGTCCTATGGAAAGGAGATTGGATCCTTACCAAACAAACTACTCGGATTCTGTTGACATACCCACGTCTGTGACATATCTCTTTTTAACATTTGTGTGAAACAAAAAGAAGGGCTTAAGGTAATGTAATTGGTCGCTTAAACAAAGTGAAACATAATTCCTGGCTTTTAAATCCAAAATGATCAGTTTTTTAAATCATCCTGCACTTTCTTCAAAGTAAGTACATTTAATGAGTTCATCAATATGAAGTTCACTGTTATTAAAACAACTGAGCACTAGATCCTAAGATTAAGTTAATAGAGTATCAATGTATGTTGGTAAAATGAGAATCTATTCACTTATGCCAGAAACACTTATGAAAATGTGTTCGAAAGATATTTCAGAGTTTGGGTGAAGTTAATTAGCATCTAAGCACCACTTAAGGAAATGCTTCCTTACAAGAGGCTACTTCTGTATGACAGCTCCAAGAAATTTATAACAGGAAAGATTCAGATTGTGCTTGTCTTTTAGCTCATCAAGTCTAAAAGAAATGAGCTTCCCACCCTTTCCAAAAAAGGAGATGATTTGCCACTTAGAAAACACTTTATTTTTTAAACTCCTCTGATAAGGACTATTTTGTTTCTCAGATGTTTTTAAATAGAGCATGCAAATGTTAATAATTTATCTCATGAAAGATAAACTGCGTACTCTGTAATATATAAAATCCTGGGGGGTAGCGGGGATTTGCTTCTTTCTTCTCAGGTACTTATGCCTTTACATGTTCATTGTATGGTCCTTCTGTGTTATGTAGGTGTGTGTATGTGTGTGTGTGCACGTGCACACATGTATAGCCTTTATGTGATGACATTGCTGGTACTGACTGAAAAAAATATGATTCGTGAAGAATTTTGTATCCCATTGTACCTAGCACAGCACCACACATAGAGACATTTAAAAAGATTTCAGCAAAAATTTTTTCTCAATGAGACTGATTAAAAATAATACTTTACATGTGCTTGGGAGTTTGTGGTGCAGGAAGGCCTTTCCACACACATTAGCTGAAAAGAACATTATTATCCTGATGAAGCAATGCCTTATAATGCAAACTCCTTTGGAGCCAGGGAGACTTGCCTTCCAGTCTTTTCCTTTCCTTTACCTTTATCTGTGGCCTTAAGGACTCACCAAATGTCTATGTTTGTTTTTTAATCATCTGTTAATTGAGGACAATTAAACTTGCAAGATAGCTATAATAGTTCAATACAACACTCTAAGGTTCTTGTATGACGGCTAGAGTAGTACCTAGCATATACCTGGAATTAATTTTAACAGTTTATAGATATATAATTTATATACAATAAAGTTTACCCTTTTAAAGTATACAACTAAATGGTTTTATTATGCAATCATCACCATAATCTAGTTTTAGAATGATTCTCATCACCCCAAAAAGAAATCTTGTCCCCATTAGTAGTAACTTGATTCTTCTACCCTTCACTCAAGCCCCAGGCAACCATTAATTACTTTCTATCTCATAGATTTGCCTAATCTAGACATGTCATATAAACGGAATCATGGTATATATGAGTTTTGTGACTGGTTTCTTGAATTTAGCATATTTTTGAAGTTCACGCATGTTATATATTTCAGTACATCTTTCCTTTCTGTTACCAAATAACATTCCATTGTATGGATACACCACATTACCAGTTTCTCAGTTAATGGACATTGGAGTTGTTTCCACTTTTGCCTATTATGAATAACGTTGATAAGGACATTCATGTACATGTCTTTTTGTGGAAGTATATGTCATTTCTCTTGGGTAAATATCTAAGTGTAGAATTGCTGAGTCATATGATAACTATACATTAACATTTCAAAGAACTGCCAAATTGTTTTCCAAAGTATTTGCAACCGTTCCAACCCACGTGGTATGAGGCTTCCAATTTCTACACATCCTTACTAGCTCATTATTTTCCACCTTTTATATTATAGTCATTCTAATGTTTTTATTATGATCATGCTGGGAATTTTTTATTATTATTATATTCATTCTAGTGGATATGAAGTGATTTTGATTTCTGTTTCACTAATGACTAATGATGGTGAGCATCCTTTCATATGCTTATTTCCAATTTGAATTTCTTTTTTGGAGACTTGCCTATTCAAAGTCTTTGACTACGTTTTAATTGAGTCATTTGTCTTTCTATTAATGAGTTGTAAGAGTTCTTTATGTATTCTAGGTACAAGTCCCTTATATATGGTTAGCAGATACTGTCAGCCAGTCTCTCAGTTGTCTTTTCAAGTTCTTGATTGCGTCACTTGCAGCACGAAAGATTTTACTTTTGATGAAAACAATCTATTTTTCTGTTCTCACTTGTGCTTTTGGTATAACATCTAAGACAGCATTGCTTAACCAAAGGTCATGATGCTTTACTCCTGTTTTCTTCTGAGAGTTCCATAGGTTTAGCTCTTATATTTATGTCTATGATCCATTGTTAGTTAACTTTTGTATATGATAGAAAGAAGGAATTCAACTTCATTTACACACAGGTATTCATTGTCCAAGCACCGTTTTTTGAAAAGACTATTTTTTTTTCCATTAAATGGTCTTTGTACCCTTGTAGCATAAAAGTGAGAGTTTATTTCTGGACTCTCAATTATATTTCATTAATCTATAAATTTATACTTATGTCAATACCAAATTGTCGTGAGTACTGTAGCTTTGTAGTAAGTTTTGAAATTGAGAATGCTGACTCCTAATTTGTTCCACTTTTTCAAGATTGTTTTGGTTATTTTGCATCTCCATATTAACTTTAGGATCAGCTTGCCAATTTCTAGGGGAAAAAAAGGCCAGCTGGGGGCCCAGGCTGGTGGCAGCCATTAAGTGCACGCACTCCACTTCGGTGGCCTGGGGTTCACAGGCCCAGATCCCGGGCGCGCACCAACGCACTGCACAACCATTAGTCTAGGGCCAATATTCCCCAGCAAAAAGAGGAGGATTGACATCAGATGTTAGCTCAGGGCTGATCTTCCTCATAGGAAATAAAAAAAAGGCTAGCTGGGATTTTGATAGGCGTTTCATTGAATCTATAGGTCATTTTGATGAGTATTGACATTTTAACAATATTGTCTTCCATCCAAACACATAGGATGTGACTTTCCATTTATTTAGATCTTCCTTAATTTATTTCAACAATATTTTTTTGTTTTCAGAGTATAAATTTTGCACTTGTTTTGTTAAATTTATTCTGAAGTCATTTTTTCTTTTTGATGCTATTCTAAATGGACTTATTTTTTTATTTCATTTTTGGATTGTGCATTGTTTGTGTGCAAAAATGCAATTGACTTTTGTGTGTTGATCTTGTCTCTTGCAGCTTTACTGAACTTATTAATTACTTCTAATAGTTGTTCATGAATCTCTTAGAATTTTCTAAATACAAGACTATGTAATCTTCAGATAAAAATAGTTTTATGTCTATTTTCCAATCTGGATGCCATTTGTGTCTTAATTTCTTCTTCATATTTGAAGAATAATTGTGCTATATAGAGAGATCATGATTGACAATGTTTTTCTTTCAGTCCTTTACATATATTATGCACTGTAGTGTTATTCTTACTGAGGACCCATTGTATGCAATGAGCATTTTTCTCTTGCTGCTTTATAGGATTTGTTGTCTTTGTATTTCAAAAGTTGGACTAGGATGTGTCTAGGTGTGGATCCCCTTGATTGATCCTACTTGGTTTATGTTGAGCTTCTGGAATATGTAAATTAATGTTTGTTTTTTATCAAATCTTGACAATTTTTGTTTTTAATCAAACCTTGAAAATTTTCAGACGTTATTTCTTCAAAGATTCTTTCTTCCTTCTTCTCTGTTTCTGTGAACACCATTAGGCATACGTGGGTATGTTTTATGGTATCCCACAGGTTACTGAGGCTCTGTTCATTTTTCTTCATTCTTTTTCCTTTCTATTCCTCAGACTGGATAATCTTAATTTACCTATCACTGAGCTCACTGATTTTTTCTTCTGCCATCTCAAATCTGTTCAGACTCTCAAGTGAATATTTCATTTCAGTTACTGTAATTTTTAACCACAGAATTTCTATTTGGTTCTTTAAAAGCAATTTCTATCACTTTATTAACATTCTCTATACGGTAAGACACTTTATAATGTGGGTGGGCCTCATACAATCAGTTGAAAGCCTGAATAGAAAAAAGACTGACCTCCCCTGAGCAAGAAGGAATTCTGCCATTCTGTCAGCAGGCAACTTTTGGATTTGAATTGCAACATTGGCTCTTCCCTGGGTCTCCAGTCTGACAGCCCATTCTGAAGATTTTGGACTTGTCAGCCTACATAACTGTGTGAGCCAATTCCATAAAGACATATCTCTCCCTATATATGCACTTCCTATTGATTCCGTGTCTCTGGAGACCTTGATCAATACAGAAAGTAAACAAAGGATTTCAGGAACTTGATGTAGAATGAAGGCCACAGCTTTTTCTCCCATGCTTTACTCTAGATAAATGATGCTGAGACCCTAGAACCCTGTAAGTCTACCTCATTCAAAGGAGGTAATAAATGTGAGACACCAGGATGCTGGACTGTTCCTAGTCATATATTTGGAAAGAAGATGATTTTTTGGCCCTTTTCTACCCATACATTCACACAGATGATGGTTCAAAGCAGTCCATCTTAGAAATCCAGATTTCCTGCCGTGATTGGTGGCTAAGTCACTGAGGAAACCTCAAAGATCTACCTAAGCAATGGAGGAGCCCATACATAGTGACAAATAGAATTGTCTGGAAATCTTCAAAAGCCATCTTTGACTGGCCTTGAAGTAAGAGGAAACTTTTACTCAGTGTGGGGGAATTTTATACTTGAACTGATATTCTTGAAATATCATTAGCTTCTCCACCCATCAGGAAGCCTATTGCTTCCCACAAGCATCTAAAATGTCTAGCTTCTGAGCAACTAACATTTCCTCCCTTAAAAATCTGAGCTAAATGTTTACTCTTACATACATTACATAAAAAAGGGAAAACAACAGTGGATTTCTCTCTAAGGGCTTATATCCAGGATTGAGCCTTGTCTCAGGCACACCTGTCCTAAGGATGATAAGAGAATAGAGGGCACTGTGCCTCCTATCGCTGTCCCTTATCTTGGAAATCTCCCCAATAAAGAATCTTCTTTATACTCACACCATATGACTTTGTGGAATTCACCTTTACTCACCTCACCACACACTAGTTATCAATAATGATCAATTTTAACCTTGATTTATAAATATGATTAGGACAACTAAAAAAATCACCTGACATATGAGGATAGTCAACAGATGGAAATGGGGCAGATGATATCGATGAAAAAAAGCAAATGGACTCCAGTGAAATATAATCAATGCGAAAAAAAGAAAATAATAATAAAACAACTTCTGAAATTACTCCATAAATCAGGATTGATCTCTTTTCTACTTGGAAATGATTCAGAAGCAATAAGGAGATTAATGGAAAAAATGTCACAGACTCCAATTTCAATAAAAATAGAAGACAAGTGTAAAACCCAGACTCCAAAATGTAGGCAAAGGTGTTTAAAAGAAGCTTGGGGTTAGTACAGACAGACATTTAGAAAAATCTCCACAGTGAGAAGACCCAATGGCAGTAGGTCTCAGAATGCACCAACAAAAATCATCTTTAGGTGCGCGGTATGAAGTTCAAAATCCAAAACCCATGCTTGCAACAGTTAAAAGAAACCTGTTTTGTTCAGAGAAGTAAAGGGCACGTGACTACACAAAGAATCGCACTGACAAAACCACGTGAAATAAGTAAACTAGCTTGGCAATAGAGAAGAGAACCTCTGCATTTTGAAAACAGCTAGTTGGGAACAGTGCTATGGCCTCTGCCCACCATACTCACTGTTAACTTGAAAAGCCTCAAAATGAGTTTATTCGAGAATGGCTGAAAGAATTGCAATTCAGGATGTGCTTTCCGTGGCAAATCATAGGCAAATCCAACAAACAAAGAAAGGGAGCTCCCTTTATAGATGCAAAGGGGGAGTAGGCAGGGGCTGTTCTAAAGCAAAGTCCACTGGGAGAAAGGAACAGTTCAGGGTGAGAACGGATTCTCATTGGCTGAGCTGCGGTGTTTCTCGTTGACTGGGCTTGTTGCTGGGTGGGGAGAGAAATCTTCCTTCAGTAGTAAAGTAGTTCTACTTTCTGTCCAAGATCCAAGCACCCTCTCTTCCCATTTGGTGTATTTGAGGATGTGCGCTAGGGCATGAGAGCTCTCCCTAAGGCTTTCCCAACTCCAATTTAGTCAAGGTTTAAGGTTTCTTTTATTAATTTCCACATCACCTACATAGGAAATGCAGATAATTAGTCCAGAAAAACCAACATATTCAATAATAAATAAAAATTAATTAGCATAGCAATTATATGAAGATACTTAGAATTACATATTAATTTTAGTCATTCTATTTAATGAAATCTTTTACAAAAACACTATAGTGTTGTGATAGATAATAATATTGACCCAAAAGTAGTAGTTGAAGCTGAACATACCCATATTTTAAAACTCAAAAATTTCAC